TTGTATTTTTTGTCTAAATTTGAATAGAAGTTAACTTGTGGAGTAAACTGAAAAAACTTGAAACATGAGAGCCAAACTGGGAAAAAATAAATTTTACGAGCCAAATTGGAAAAGTAACCAAACTTAAAGGTGGCAAAGTGTAATTAATCCTTTTTTTATTATTTATTTTTAAAATAGAAAAGTAGACACTAGGCATAAGGGGGTGTTTACTTTATATATAGTACAGCACATATAGACCTAGAGGGGGGCAAGAGGGCGCAATCACCTCCCTACGATTTCAAAAACACTATTTATTATAGTAGTATTAGCTACAATTATTTACAAATTATAGATACTTGCTAAGTTTTTCTTATTTTACAAATTATAAGGATCATCCTCTCTAGATTTTAAAAAAAAGTTTAAGTGACCATCACTCTATATCTATGAAACATGTGATCAAAATATAAAATTAAAAAAAATGGAAAACATAATAAATTTTTTTATAATTTTTATTTTTATAACTAATGTTGATTACAAGCTATAGTATGTAAAGAATAGAATGAGGTATCAGTTAGTTACTTGATCACGCTAGTAGAAATTGATATTATAATTCATACTTCCTTTTAAAAAAAATTGTTTGTATATATATGATCACCCCCCTATATGAAAATCCTGGGTCCGTCCACATATCATTTGGGTTCCCTATTACCTAAGGTAATATTAACAGAGATAAACATAGACACAAAACCACTTTGAAGTGACATTACTTTAAAATACTATATTGTTGATAATACAGAGTTGTAGCAGAACTTGTGCCCAAGTCTTGATAAATGAAGTTGTTCGACTAATTTTATTCTCTCTGTTTTATTATCACACAACTGTTATCTTCGAAGATGACTTACTATTTAATATTTTAGCATTCAGTGGGAGTATTCTCTAACCTTCAAGCCATTACTTTTCATCATCAGATCATATATTCAGTTGAATATACTTATCAAATAAATACACAGCCTAATTTACTTGAATAATTTTCTTATCAGTGTTAATCCTGTTCATGCATTAATGCACAGTTATTTCACAAGGTGTTGGATATAGTCATCTTTCGGGGGAAAAGAAGAAAAATAAGAAAGAGGTCAAGTAAATAACTAGATATGAATTTTGGGATTCTGATGTTATTTATTTATTTTTTTTGTATAGACATTGCTTTTAAAAGTCAGATTTCTATGGTTTTCCTTTGGGTCAACTAATCTCTCAATCCAATCAAGCTACAAGACTGCTAAGGTTGCAGTATCTCACAACAGGCTATTAATTATGTGGTTGATCTCCGATTTAGAGGCTGATTAATGATTTTACTGTTTACAAGGAATAGATTGTTGTTTGTAGATCCAGCCCTTGCTGCATATTTAGCTGAATATGATTACATTGTGTAGGTAATTTGAGAAAAGAACAATGTTTAGAAAATATTAGTGTCATAAGTTTAAAACAAGAGCCACAGCCATGAAGAAAGATAGAATGAAATAAAACAAAATACGATATAGATAAAACAAAGTGTGTGATGATAATCAGATTTGTATGGTCCCGATCCAATCTGATGACCTGCAAGAGAAGATAAGATGAGTCTTTGGCGCATCGGTGTGGTGCCGGCCAAAGACCCTCCGATGCCTTTGTTAGAGATGTAGGCTTAGAGAGAGAGTACAGATGAGAAAGAGCTTAAGGTCTTAGTGCCTACCTTGGCCTTTTAGAGAGGGTCTTTGTCTTGACACATCGGTGGTGGCGGGCTTCAATCTTGCTGGGCTGTGAGCCTTATGGGTTGATCTACCAAACCCGAACCTTAACTAATTGTGTATATATCAATGTGAAAATGGAAAGTCCTGGACATATAGCGAAATGACTGTTTACCATCATCAGACTTTGACACTGGGCAAATTCTATCAGGAAAATGCCTGGTTTCCTTAAATTGAGTGATTGTTTTCATTCCAACATCACAGTCAATACTTGTGTGTCTGTGCATGTACAGATATGGGGTTGATCCTTCTCTAATTGTATGCAGTTGTCATGACTTTCCTTGTAGTAATAAGTTGTATCATAATATCATTGCCATATTCATCATTGATCATCATCATCATCATTATTGTTGCGATTTCATGTGTTTTAGAAAGGAAAAAAGAAAAAAATTTGGACAAAGCAAGGTAAGTGTTAACCTTTATTTACTTATCATTCTTATTTTTGATAGAGATGATACCTTTGACATGTTTTTGTTGTGTGTTCTTTTCAGTGGAAAAGCTGTCTATGTAATGATGAAAGACATGGCTGAGAATCCAATAAAGTGGGAGGGGAGAAAGATCCTCTTCATACACACTGGCGGGCTCCTTGGCTTGTTCGATAAGACTGACCAGATGATGCCGCTGGTGGGGAATTGGCGAAAAATGGATATTCACGAATCTATACCACAGATGGATGGCGCTGGAAAAATGTTTTAGGCTAGTAAATAAATTGCTAGTTTTAAATATTTTCAGTGCCTCCGAAGTCTCAGACAGAATCATTTTGTCAATGAAAATCAACTTTGTATTTGCAACATTAATTCATGTATCTTTTTTCTTCCTTCTATTGAACCTGCCATGCATAAACACTTCATGGTGCTGAATGTCCACACAAATAAATAAATACATTGTATCTCTCCTGAAAATTTGAGAAATTATAATTTACTCTCAATGTTTGGCAAAATTACACAGTGTTTCCTTAATATTTAGATTCACATTACAGTTGTCCCCACACTGTTGACTTAATAGAATATTCTAGTTACAATCTATACATGGGTAATAATTCTATTTACACATTACAAAAAATCTCATTACACATTGTGCGAGAGTGAATTTTGCACTGTTGAAATGAATCGGAGCTCCGTCACCGAAATGGATAATCCAGGGACCGAGATCTGCAAAATCAAGAACCGGTGAGAGCTGCCTGGCCAGGGTTGGCTAGAGAACCCCTCTGATGTTGAAGTTAGGAAATGGAGGAGGAAGAAGAGAAGGACTCTAGAGACCGAGGGAGTTTGTAATGTGGAATGTCATGTGGCTCTTTATATAGTTGCACTGCTTTGCTCTCCAAGGTGGAGGTGACAGAGCTTGTGTGCCTCTTAGTTATGGTTAGCATAGCTCAGGTAGAGGACCTCAAGTTCATTATACATGGTTGCACATGCCACTTGAACCATATCTCATGATTTGAATATTCCTTCCCTAACCGTTTCAGCACCCGGGGACTATGGAGGTGTCTTGTGCACGTGGCCTTCACTTAGACGTGAGGCTCACATCCTGGTCTTCACTGCTTACCCTATTATTTGATCATTGCCCCTAATCTTGCCCCCTCTCACTCCATTGTCTGGTGCAAGCTTGTTGCCTTATTCCTCTCTTTCTCTCTCTCTCTACACCCCAACCCACCCCACTGTTTAGTGTCTCAAGGAAAAATGAAGCATTTGACTGAGAGAGAGAATTTGATGGGGTGAAGTAATGTAGAGAAGGTGGTGTTCATGGTTGGTAGTGACAAAGAAAGAGGCATATTTCACTAGTGGGTGAAGACAATAGGTAGTGTGTGTATGTGAGAGAACTCTTGACTTCCATGTTACGCCCTATTGAAAACCCCAACAGAGACCCTCTCCATTATAACCTTTTCAAAACTCTTAGCGATAGAAGCAACAACAACGACTACGATTATAGCCTCCCACCACATTTATATCACCCTTTCTTTTTGTCCCTTTTTGTTTATATCACCTTACCTCAATCAATTTTTGAATTTTGTTTATTGTTGAGTTTGATATTGTATGTTGATGAATTTGGTGAAGACTTTCTAGCAGTAGTAGGTGTATGGTGGCAATGGTGGTGGCTGCATTTGGTGGTAGTGATGTTACGGTGGCAGTCGTGGTAATTATATCTGGTGTGCATGTGAGCTAGGGCAGTGGCAATGGTGTTAGGGATTGAACTAGTGATGGAGGAGATAATACACGAACTACAGGGATGGTAATAATATGGGTAACAAAAGTAAGAATTGAACCAGTGGTGGAGCCTGGATGGTGGTGATAGAGTTGTTATAACAAGCATGACAGTGGTGTAACAATCTGGGGTAACTTGGTATGATATGCATTTGACTTAAAGTGAAGTGTTGCTGCTGTTTGCATTTGGGAAGGACATTATATTGTAGAGTTGTTTACTTTTGTGGCTGCTACTATTTTTGTTTTTAGTGGTTGTTTGGATTGTTGTACTTTGATTTGTTTGGTCTCTAGTCAACTCTTGGTGTTGTACTAGTAAATGATTGGGCTTTTTCTTCGCTGTCATTCTAGTTGTGATTGTTTAGTTATGCTATGATACTTTTAGTTTGATTAATTCCCTATTTTCTTTTGTGGTGGTGGTGTGGTGTGTTTTTTTTTTTTTTGGTTTGAACTGGGCAATAAGGTTGTGTGTGATTGTAGGTTTGGGAGTGGAGTTAGATCCATAGATTTTTACAAAATTAATATAGAAATGTAAACAAAAATATTATTAGTAACAACGCTTTCTTCAATTTTTTTTTTTTTTTATTGCAGGTAGCTAGAGGCGTAGTCATGCATGTTTATGGATCTAAGTTTGCCGATGCATTAATTCTAAGTTGTGCATATATTTTTGAGATACTTCGCATCGGACAAATATGACATGCATTTGAAATCTTTGATGTTTTGTTAAATATTTTTTGATGTGGTGAATTTATTGTAAGGATGGATGGTTATTTTGGGCGTGTAATGTATTGATATTGACAGGTGGTTGTAAACATATTAATTATTATTTTGACTTTATAATTGATGGTTTTTTTTTATTTTAGATTGGATTGTTGATGGATTGGTATATTAAAATTGATTGGATGGACATGAATTATGTATTAATTGCAAATGTATTATAGGTATTACAAAAAATTATAGGAACCATGCTTGGATATTGATTTTTAAGTTAATATTTCTATTGCATTGTAGAAACGGTCAACAAGAAATATAGGCAACAGGAAAAAGTTACCCTATAATCACACCATGGGTTCAAGGTCATTTTCAGCAGCAATCTCAATTGAGGTAACATATTTTTTGTTTTAAAACTTATAGTTAATGCTGCAATTTTTTTATTAACAATATTACTAAGCTTGCATTTTATATGTTTCATGTAGGGAATTGAAACTGGAAAGGAGCCTCACATTGTAGATTTTTTCAAGACCTCACATTGGAGTAAGAAAAAAAAAGATTGGATTGAACCAGTTTGTGCGGAGTTATATGTAAGTATACCTTCATTATATTTGTTATTCATAGTCCTATATAATGCTTAACTAGTTAGTGTACTTGTAAAATAGGATAACTGTTGATCCTTTTTTTTTTTTTCTTTTCTTTTTTTAACACAAACAGGAAAAGATGGACCAACTTCGTGAGGAATCTTCACAGCCTGGAGCAAC